ATCCAAAGAAGTAATTTTATTTGCTGACTGCATTGTATGAACATTGCTCTTCACGTTGTCTAAATTTAAAATCTATGCCACTGACCCGAAAATTAGATTTTCTCATTGTTAAAAATGAACAGAATAATTCAGCAGCATGCCTCCAGGTTATGGTTTCTCTAATTACCTTGTATCCTGAATTCTTAATTATATTCGGAGACATGTGAAAGTCCCTTTGTGCTCAGAGCGCATCCTGAGCCTTTTCTGTGCTACGTGAATTCCTTACACAGTGAACCTTACACACCGAATTTCAGTTTGGTTCCTTAAGTTGCTGTTCTTCGGGTCATTTAAATCTCATTCCTCTCAAAGTCAATTTCCTGTCGGTCCGAACAAGCATCCCGACTGCCAGCCTTCTCATATACCAAGATCCCCTCACCTGTCGTCCAATTCCCTTGTGACCTAGTTAAATGCTCTTTCTTTCTGGGTCACAGAAATGAGACAGTCCTAAGTCTCTACCTCAAGAAGCAGCTCCTGAAATTGATCGGAGCCTTGGCTTCATCAGAAAATCACTGGGTGATAAGAGTGATGAGCCTCAATACAGATACACAGCTGCATCAAAGCCCTGGAACTCCTATCTGTGCAAAACACGTGTATTTAAAGATGCTGGATAATACTCCAAATAATTTTCTCTGAAATTATGGCTCCAAAGATTCCCCGAGCTTGAAGTCAAAGGATTTTTTTGAATAAATTTTGAAGTCATTTTGAACTGTTTTTCCAGCAGCCAGACTAGATGGGACTCCTGGAAATGACGAAAGCCCATTCTACGCAGTAGGAGCGGAGTGAACATGGGGAAAAATAACATGTAGTATCCATTTACGTGCTTATTACTTGTTGGACACCGTACGAAGCTCTTTGTGTTGTGTTGTCTTCTTGTAATCGTCCTGTCTTGTGCATGAAACAACTGAGGTACAGAGTGATCAACTCGTTCGAGCTCGCCTAACTAGTAAGTGTCAGGTCCAAGTGAAAAATCTAAAACAGTGCTTCCCAGAAGTTAAAGTGCCTACGGATCTCCTGGAAAACCTGTTGACATGCAGACTCTGATTCGGTGCATCTGATACTGTGAATTTCCAGCAAGCGCCCTAGTAAGGCTAACGGTGCTGGTCTGTGGACCCCACAGTATGAGGAGCAAGGTGGAGACTTCAACTCCACAGCCTCAGCAGTACAGTTCATCCTGATGACTATCGTAGGGGAAGCCATGCTTTAAGGATTCCTTAGTTTTTCTACGTTACAGGGATAAACAGTCTCAAGGTTAAATGTTAGAGAAATAGCACACATAGTCTGATGTTAGGGGTAGAGCTCAGCATTTAGGCTCTGGAGTACCTGCTTAAGTTTTTCTAGATAGTACCTACCTTTCCTGGACCTTCCTCTTCAAACGTATGGCCTCAGAGTCTGGCATTTGGAGCGTCAGAGAACAGGTTCTGCTACCTGGCTCTGCTCTGCACACCTGTCCCTGGACAGGCGGTGAGCAGTAGTAGCACAAGTGACAATGTTCACAGAAGTAGAGACAGAGCCAGTCCTCAGGGTGGCATCAAGGGACCATGGTAGTCCCCAGCCCGGGATCACCTGGGAATCGAGAGCAGCAGTGTGGCTTCCAGAACAGTGGGCCAGCTCCACGCACTTGGGAAGAGAGTGAGTTATATAGGTTGCTGCGTGGTGTGTGTAACTTGGCGGGATTATTACCTGGGAAAATCATTCAGGCTTTCCTTCATTTACAAAAATTAAAAACTGAACAAAATTACAGGAAAAAAATGGGGAGAAACTCTGACTTAAAAATGGACATTCCCTTTGACCTACAAATTCTACTTCCAGAACTCTATCCTTCAAAATCCTAACACTTGGGCACATCTGCACAAAGATGTTCACAGAAACATCTGTAATAGCAAAACATAAAACAGTTCATCAGTGAGTGTGCTTCAATAAATTACGGAATGACCATTACACGGTAAGAAACGGCCATTAAAAAGGATATGGCATTTATCCATGAAGATGTCTCAGATGTAATAAGTAAACACAGTAAGTTTGGGGACAACATATAAAATACAGCATATATAAAACATAGCATATTTTATATAAATATCTAACTCCCATCCATCCACCTATCTGTGCTTGTACATTGTTTGAGTAAGTTGGGGCTGCTATAACAACCTACTATAGACTACGTTGTTTATAAACGGCCGAAATCTATTTTTCACAGTTCTAGAAGCCAGAAGTTTGGCGCCAGCATGGTGGGGTTCTGGTGAGGGCCCCCCAGCAAGTTGAAGACTGCCAACTGCTTGAGTAACAGAACAAAAAAAATTAAAGGAACCTGTTTTTTTTTAAAGTTTAACAATGACTCACTTTTAAGCCACTTGTTCCTATATCCTGGGTGACTCCACTGGGAGAGGACCCTTGGAAACTTGGCTGCCTTGGACTTCGCATAGCACGTGCCTTTCTTTTTGCTAATTCTGCTTGGTTTCCTTTCATTGTAGTAAACCGTATCTGTCAGTGTGACTATGTGCTGACTCCTGTACATCATTCTAGTGAATCCTGAAACCTAGGAATAGTCTTGAGGACTCCAACCCAAGGACAGAAGAAAAAAGTGATCTATCATCTTTAGAGAATCGTTTCCAAGCTAGGAACCAGCCTTTTTAACCTAAAAAACGGTGAGAGAATCGAAGTAGACAGAACATGTCTCTTATCTTCTCCCCGCGAGATACAAATGCTATTTAATTTCTTGACACAGGGTCTCACTCTGTCAGCCAGGATAGAATGCAGTGGCGTGAACATGGTTAACTGCAGCTTTGAATTCCTGGGCTTAAGCAATCCTCCCACCTCAGCCTTCTGAGTAGCTAGGACTATAGGGATATGCCACCATACCTGGCTAATTGTTTTTTTAGGTTTTATTTGCAGACGTGGGGTCTTGCTGTGTCACTCGGGCTGTTCTAACTCCTGGCCTCAAATGATCCTCCTGCCTTGACCTTCCAAAGTGTTGGGATTACAGGTGTGAGCCACTGTACCCAGCTGATGAATGCGATCTTAATTGACACCTAGAGTGCCCTACCATTTCTGAGGCATGGATGGAGATTGATGATAATTCTTCCCGCTCAGGGTGGCCACATGGAAGACACATCAATATTTTCCTGATGCTTAATTTATGAAGACGACACAGTGGTATGAGGTTGAAAGGCAGAAGAATTTCAGGTTTTTCAACACTCCTCTGAATCCTTCTCACTGAAGTTGCTAAATTTACTACAATTAGGTAGGTTTTAAGAGGACAAGGACATTCATCTGGAGATATCACTGATTAGTTTTTCAATCAAAAACATGGAACGAAGGCCACATACGTACTGGGAATCTGGGATACAAAGAAAAGCCACGACTCCACCTCAAAGGGGTACTAGTGTATAAGGGAGACTAGGTGTGCTGGAGTTGGCCCACATTGGCTTGTGAGAGCTGACTGTTACTTGGGAATTTTGTGAGCTACTCGCATTACTTGGGTAGTTTGAAATCTGCATGATTGGAGTATTTATACAGTGGAAATACGCAGAGGCAACAAACTGGTCCTCTTCCTCTTTCAGATGTCTGTGAAACATTTACCTGGGGGAAACAGACAAGCATCCGGAGGACTGCAGTGCAGTGAGTACTGCCCAAGAAATCTGGAAATCAATCAACATAGATTTCAAGCAAAGGTGAGAGGTGAATGTGTAGCTAGGGGTGGTTCCCCAGAGAGTGGCTGCACAGCTCGACGATCCTGGTTGGGTGGGGCAGGTGGAGCTCTGCCGCTGGCACAGGGAAGGACACACCCGTGGCAGACAGTGGGGTCCATGGAGGGGGCTTTCCTTGGTTGTGCACAGACCAGACAGGCAAGGCAGAGGACATTGCTCCCTCTCCGGGGTTCTTCCTGGTCCCTTCCTAACTCCTGAAGATGTCACCACTTCTGCAAATTACAGTCAGCCCTTGCACAACGTGGGGGTTAGGGAGGCCAACCCACTCAGAATAAAAACCCATGCCTAACTTTTAACTCCTCCAAAACTTAACTGTGAAGAGGCCACTGTGGACTAGAAGCCTGACTGGTACCATAAACAGTTAATTAACACATTTTATAGTCTCATGTATTGTTTTCCGTATTCTTAGAATACACTAAACTAGAGCAAAGAAAATGTTACTGAGAAAATGATCAGGAAGAGAAAATATATTTATTATTCCTTAAGTGGAAGTTGATCACTAAAAAGGTCTTCGTGGTCATTGTCTTCACATGGAATAGATGGAAGAGGAGGAGGAAAACGAGGGGATGGTCTTGCTCTTTCAGGGGTGGCAGAGGTGGAAGAAAATGTGCGTTGAAGTGTACCTGCCTTGGGACAGCTGTAACTATATGAGCTCTACTCCCTCTCCTAACCTCTTAGATGTCTATTTTAACAGACATTGACTACATAGAGAAAATTGTCTGGAGCTTTTCGGAAGAAAGCTCAAATGCCAATTGTGCCACAAACTGTTGAAAAAACTTTTTGAGGGGGGTTGTTGGAGCTGCTGTCTAGAAGAGATGGGTATGTCCTCAGAGATTTCCGCAGAGGTAGGACTCGATGATCTTTATTGATTCAAGCAAGCTTCCAGCACACTTCTCCATTTTCTCACCAGGGAAAAGTCTCACCAACTGTGTACTCAGTAAGAAGTTAGAAAAGATTTCAACATGTGTGTACCAGGACACATGGAAGTTTTTCTGGAGGTAAAAAGTCTCGGGGCTTGGGGAAAGCCATAGTAACATCACAAAAGAAAAATAGCCCTTTCAGACCTTTCAGAATTATTTCCTCCCTATTATACAAAGAGACCCCTCTCTTTTACGGGAAGACTAGGGCTAAAGAGCTTTACTTTGTACCACGTCTTGCTACTGCGCTCTGAGGAGTATGCCCTCCTAAATGCTATATGAGCAATGAACTAAAGACAAAAGGAACACTTAAAAAGAGTCAACACAATTGGTAGTTTCGTTTTTTTCTTTTTACTCAAAAAGTTGTTTTAACCATCAAATTTTGGCAGTTACAAACCTGTACACTGTAGTGTTTGTTTTTTTTTTTTTTTTTGGCTGTCTTGTTTTGTTTGCTTTTTGTTTAAGAAAAAACACAAGACTGAATACTGCCACCAGCAATAGATGCAGGAACAATCCATTTCCTTAAGGGACAAAATCCACTGTTAGCTTTCCCCATTGCATAAGGTTTGGTGTGTGATGTGTGTGCAAGTTCAGGTGAGTGTACAGTGTATGAAGAAATGACATAACTCACTGTGACTTAAATTGCATAAAAATACTGAATAACTGGGCAAAACATTTTTTACAAATGTCGATAAAAACATTTTTCTTAAACGGAGAAATTTAAATGAAAACCGTAAGAACCAAACAAAGGTTACAGTACATTTTGAAATGATTAAAAAACATTGTCAAATCTAAAATCCGTGTGTGTGTGTGTGTGTGTGTGTGTGTGTGTGTGTAGTTACCGCAAAAGTTTGCAGACCAACAGCGTGAATGACCTAGATTTATATTCGACCCCCCCAAATTAAAGCATCCTGATAGGCATCAAATAGAGTATCTACAAAAGCTTGGAAAATTGAAACCACTTATATACAACTTTATAAACATTTTAAACACCAAAACATACATCTTTTACAAACCAGCCTGTTTGCAACAGGTAAATGTACAAGACACTCTCTCTGATACAATGCTTAGAAAGAACTGCTTCCGTTTCCAAACACATCTGCCACTCCCAAAATGCAGTAGTGTGGGCTCATAAGATTGTTCAATAGTAGCAATTCCGGTACCAGACACGCTCCATACGATTCTCAAGTGCATCCTAAACACTGGAAGAGACTAATTATGGCCTTTGTGTATTATTACCTACTTGTAATTATTGCTTTTCATTATTACATAAGAAATATATTCTTTGCCTATCTTTTAGCCAGCTGGCGAAATAATTAACTGATGCCAAACCCACAAACGGTGACGTTAAATCCCAGCATTACACAACCAGAAGCTCAAAGACATTGCGGATTTTCATCAGAATAATGTGCAGTTGAACACCGTGGGACACGAACCAGCAAAAACATAACCACCTTCTCACAGAGCACACCCAGCGATGACATGGAATCCATGCCTCTTCAGATCTCCATTTCCCGTGGTTTGAAACTAAAAACATAAAACATTAAAGCCTAACCACTTCAGCAATACTTGTGCACTGGGAAGGCAGCGGAGTGAAGAGCCAGACAATTACCTGGACAATCCGTGCAAAATGAACACTAGATCTTCCTGAATTACTTCATATAAAACTGTTTTCAAGATCTTTATTTTGATGATCTCTTTTCTCCATTCCCCTGACTTTGATGATGCAAACATAGCATCAGTGGGAGTAGTGGGTAGGGTGGGGTGGGAGGTATGGAGGAGAGAGCTGATGGTAGATAGGTTTTGTTTGCTGTTTTTTTGCACGTATGTGCTAGTGATTTCCAAGGGAAGTTCCGGGCAAATTCCAGAAATGAGTTCCCTTTCTTTGCTTTCACATTGATCCCCTAATTAGACGAACCTCAAAGCATGGACGACCTACTCGTGTTACTAAGTCTCTTACATGGCATTTCATGCATAGACAGGACAAGGGTACATGGAAAGCTGGCATAGATTGGAACGCAGCAGCAAAATATTCATAGAGGACAGGAAATAAATGAAGCATGCACTTTATTCACCTTTTACTACCCACAAGCTCTTGCTTGCTATATAACAAGCACCAAGAGTCTAGCTATTCTCAACCTAACCAGAATGTGTGCAATACGAGCAAAGTGCCTACAACAGATGATGGGAAATGGCTTCCAGGAGGTGGCACATAGATGTTAGAAAAAGGAGAAATACACTAATTGATTTAAATGTTTTCCATATGCTTCATCATGGTGGAGGGGGTAGGACCAACGGTAGTCAGTGTTAGTGGGAAGAAAAAATGCCAAACCAAAACCAAAAATGCAACCAGTAGGTAACAGTAAAATCAAAGTTTAACTACAACTGATGACTGGCCTCAGCTGAACTCTGTAATGATCATTTCATCCCTAGTATACAAACATTCATTTGGCAAAAGCAGCATTTTGACGAATGTCTAAAGAAATGGGAATTCTATACCCCTCTTCCTGGGGTGAGGGCGGTGGGGGGGGGGGAGTTGTCAGGAAACAAGAGCATGAGGCTTCCAGAAAAATACAGTCCATGAATTTTCTCTTAGAGCATATTCCAAAGAAGGAATGGTGGAAGTTGGAGCGTCTATTAGAACCAGGTGGCTCCCATGCTCAAGGTGTAGGGTAGGGGTGAACAATATGATGTAAAGAGAAGACTGGATAGATGGATGGGTGCTAGTCCTCGTTACGTTAATCAACTTCCTCTGTGAGCTTGGGCAAGTCCCTTCCCCTCTCTAGGTATGCTTCCTCTTTGATAACGAGCTTCGACTAGCAACTAGGACCCTTCCAGCTTTTTAAAATCGGTAGTCATCCCCACCTAGTAGCATCTTGGCCTGACTGCAAAGCATTTCATCATCGACAGGGAAACCTACCTTTCCAGAAAGTGAAGAGATCACCTTATGTTTAAAGATAACGAATCAAAACATAACACATACTTGCCTGGTAGATATTTAGCTGCAGAGCTATTCTGCAGAAAATTAGGGGACGATATCCCCAAGAAAAAAGTATTTTATGTGGGTCACAGCAAAGGGTGGCACGATTTTCTTCAGTGACTTCACAACTGCATTAGGATCTATCTAGCCTTTCATTACTGAGTCGGGCATTCTCCCTTGAAGAGATGCTGTGTAAGCAGTAGTGACTCACTGGCGTTAATCTCGCTCTAAAATTTCCTAGGGGCGAGAAATGAATTGTTGGTTTTACTTTGAGGGTTTTTATGTCATTGCATTACGAAGAGTGCAGCCGTGACGCTATGCTAGACCATTAGTTTGTCACTTTTTCCCACGATTCTTGCAAATGTGCCTCTTACCTAAGAAAAATACCAAAGACTTTATTCTTAGAAAGTTTGGGAATGAAAAATGGTGTTTTTTTTTTTTTTTTGTTTGTTTGTTTTTTTTTTTTTTTTGAGCATAAACGTTCAGAAACACTGACTCCTAAACAGCAGGTGGATTAAACACAACTGAAACGATAAAAATACGTGTGAGTGAATGATGGACAGACTGGGGACAGTTTACACACCAATGCCATATGTCCTCAAACTGTGGACACAGATTTGCTCATTAAGCAGATAGTGCAAATGTGCATATTTACTATGGCCACTGCACAGGCAGCCACAATCTGAAGTAAAGGAGGAAAGTCACTCACTTGTCAACTTTCAGTTTTGAGGACTAAGTTATATTTCCAGTGGAATGATGCTCCTATTAATTTTGGAAAGTTATGGCCAAAGCCCATAGATGAGAAGGGAATCCCAGCGTGTAATCAAACATGACACATTTTAAAATGACAGGTTAGTTCTGGAAAAATTACAACAAAATACTCTTTTTAAAAAGCACAGTTTCAGGCCAGGCACAGTGGCTCATGCCTGGAATCTCAGCACTTCGGGAGGCTGAGAGGGGCAGATCACAAGGTCAGGAGTTTGAGACCAACCTGGCTGACTTGGTGAAACCCCGTCTCTACTAAAAACACAAAATTAGCCAGGCATGATGGCACGTGGCTGTAATACCAGATCCTCCAGAGGCGGAGGCAGGAGAATTACTTGAACCCAGGAGGCGGAGGTTTGCAGTGAGCTGAGGTTGCACCCATTGCACTCCAGGCTGGGCGACAGAGCAAGACTGTCTCTAGAGAAAAAAACAAACACAAAAAGCACAATTTTGCTTTAAGTTAATGTAATTGGCCGTACCAAAATAAAGTTAACTGGAGTAAAATATGGCATTTGATGTTTCTCTAACACCATAGAGAGCAGAGAAATCGAAAGGTATGCCATGCTCGCTGGCAGGATTTTCACCATGGTCCATTTCCCAAAACCTTCACATTAGCTTTCCTCAAGAGCAGCCTTACTGAGGGCAAGCACGTATTTGTACATAGGCCCAGACACACACACAATATGATCATTTATACACAATAACTAGTCTACTTTTTCCTTAACATAATTCTATGTATAATGGTGACACTACCGATTTAGAAAAACAAAACTTTTCTTGGCATCATCAAGAATTGCGACTATCTAGGCTGTAAACTTTGAAAGTATTTTTTTCTTTTTATCCCCTGGAAGTCGAGTTTTGCTTAACCTTCTAAAGATCTCTCCTTGTGGTGAACCTGTACAAAGCCAATTTCTGCAGCAATACTAGATTTACCAACAGGAATATTTACCAGAAAGCACAAAACAAACCAGATAATCACACTCTAATGTGGAAACAACTTTAAGCTCCTCCCCCACCCAACAAATGGAACCCAAAAAGCCGCCTGTTGCTCTTCATTGACACCTTTCTCGAAGATCATAAAACCCAACTATATTAGATAGGATGCTTAACACAAATAACTGAGCATACTAAACATGTTATTCAAACCTAATTTTATAGCTGAAAATTGGGCAGCTTATAAAAAAAAATAGTTGCTTTAAAAGGCTTCAGCCCACTTTCTTGTTTAATAAATCTGTTTCTGTTTTCTTTTCACCTAAGAGACTAACTTTTCCAAGTAGGAGTCAGTACTATTGTCATTTCATTGGCTCAAAATTACATGCAACAATGCCTCTTTGTTGACAGTTTTTAATACTGCAAGGACTGATGCTGTAACACTTTGCAGGGCACAAGACTGCTCAAAGCCATACGAGACTGCATAACTTAGTGGGTGAAATGGTTTTTCCCTCTTTGCATTTTTAGCCATGAACACAGGTACCCACATCAAGGATTACCAGTCACCGCTCAAAAACAATTTCTCAGTCTTTCCTTTTGGCCCAACTCGAATCCAGCTTGCTTGCCGGGACAGCATGACTTGGGAAGAAGTTTCTTGTGGAAAATACCGTCTTGCCTTCTCATTCCACAGATGATTCGCCACTGAGACACGAGCCCAGCCAATCGGCTTCCACTCTTCAGTAACAAAACAGGGTGAAGTACCCGAGATGTGGTATCTACACTTGAGTCTGGTGCTGAGTCTCCACGAAAGGAACGCGAAGGCTGGCGAGGCTGAGCTCTCCCACGCTCTCGTAATCACTCATGGCTACTTCAGAATCGTCAAAGCCGCAGTTGGCCGACACATCTGAGGATGAGGTGCCTCTGGAATTGTGCAAGGACAGAGACACGCCATCTGCTGGGCCCGTGGCCTCCGTGCCCTGGTTCATGCTCACGGCAAAAGTACTAAATTCACAGCTGGCAGGCGGGCCCACCAAATCCGTTTCATTGGGGAACGGGTGAGGAGGGAGATACTGGCTAGGATGGAACTGGGGCCTTCTCCTGCAGTCTGGGCTCAGTGTGCTGGCCAGGGAGACGGGCTGGGAGGGTGGCAGGGCCTCATACTGGTCCGGGAAGTCCTCCGGGAGAGGAGGAGGCAGCTGGTCCTGACTCAAAAACTCCTCTTCATGAGGGGGTGGGTATTCACTGTCAATATCATATCCGCCCAGGTAGTAATCGCTCTCCAGCTCCCGTGTGCTGCCCTGGTGTACAGACCCTCCATCCTGGTTCTCGTAGTTGGGCACTTCCTCTATGTCTGACAGCCGGGCCCCTGGCATCCAGTCAGAGGTGTCCCAGTGATAGGCTGCGAGAGAGAGAAACCACGACAGTTAATTTCCTCTACACTGGAGTCGGCACGTGGCTGGGAAAGCAGCACAGAAGCCACCTGACATGCAATTTTTTTTGGCATCCAAGAGACCCTAAGAAGCCAGGGTCATCCGCATGCTGCTTACAAGGGTCTGGGGGGCCAGCCATGCTTTGGCCTGCAGAGAGCAAGACGATGGCCACTCTGACAGGTGGTGCCTGGTGGCCGCAGAGCCTCACACTCGGCCATGCCGTGAGATGAGCGAGGGCACACCTGAAGAGACAAGTTCCAGGACCCCTGAACACTGTCCCCACACCCTCTTCCTAGCCACATGCTATTGCAGAGCCAGGCTGGCAGCATGCTTGCAGAGAGGTCCTTCAGCCGTGCTGTGGACCACAGGAGGCAGGAAGGCGTGCAGGCAAATGGGGGAAACACACGCATAGGGGACGAGGCTAGGAGGGGATGCTGGTGGAGATTTCGCCTCCAATACTGAGCACAGAGACACCTGAGACATGCAAAATTCAGATCGGGGCAGAGGACGGGAACAGGGCAAGAATGAACTCGGGAATTCAAAACACGGCACAGTCACCTCGGTTGTAGTTCTGTCCTTGGTCCATGACAGACACTGTTTAAATACAAAGTGAAAAGTGAAACTGACAATCCAAACCATGTGAAGAGGGATGACACAGAACATTTGAGATGACTTTTAAAAACATGCTCCTTAAAGGCCTATGGGCTATGACTAAGTTTAGCCTTTATTTCTCCTTATTGTTATTTAGGGGGGAGAGGAAAAAAAAACCAGAAAGCACATTTATGCCCTGATTTTAATAAGTTGCTAATAAAAGCTACCTGATTGAAATAAGTATCCATAATATTGTAGCTCTGAATGATTTCTTAAATATCCCCAGCTCATAATAGGTACTCAATGAGAACAGATGTTGGATATAAAGACAGATTTACTATTAATCTGGATTGTGACTAATTGGGTACTCTTGTCTTGAAAGAAATTTGATAAAGAGTACCCCGCATATTTATTTTTACAAATGACAAACTAGTTTTTGAAACTGCAAAACAGATCCATAGAGAAATACACCACATCTCACTGGAAACGAGCTGTTTACTGCCCTCTCTGTGGGCTATCCACTAACATCACTCCCAGTCCAAAGTAACTAAGCACAATTTCAAGAAATGCTATGGAAGAAAAAAAGTAAATACCTTCATTCTCTATAGAGTCAACTACATTGTTGACAAGCTGAATGACAGTCACTATGGAGGCTTGTGGTCAGGAAAAGAAGATGGGAGGGAGGGGGAAGGACAGCTGCAGGTTAGTTGCGTTTGTGAAACATCCGTTAACTTATTTTAACAACAATAACGGCAACAATGAAGGTTCAGCATGCAAACACCCAAAGCCTCCCCACACTCTGTTAGGGAATGTATCAGCGGACACCTTTCTCGAGAGGGTCCTGAAATTCACGGAATGGAAGAGAAATGGCAGCAAAGGCCAGTCCTCCTGAAAGGCAGGATCGGTCATGATGACTGGGTCATAAATTCACCCCTCAGGGCCCAGTAAAATCAATTTAGGAAGGCAGTGGCTCATCAAGCTCATGCTAATTTCTCATTAGCATCTCCCAAAGGCTCTCAGAGGAAGACCTCACTATTTCCAGGAAAAATTATTTGTTGGTCAGTCAGGCTGCTCTGAACCAAATGCCAGTGATAGAGGATAAGCTTTGCAGGACTGATGGCTTGACGGTCACAGGACGCCACCGACAGCCCAAAGTGACCCAAGGCCTAGCCCCCACCAGTAAGGTGTGGACAGAAGTCAGCATTTGGCCTCAAATAGTTAGAATACAGGAGATCTCCGCGGTCTATATGGATTGCCTTAATGCTCAGTACAGCAGCTTGTGGAGAGGTGATCAGGCTTAAAACCAATCTGATGAAAGCTCCCAACACCACCTGCCTCATCTGAGACAAACTTAGAGTGTTAAGCATAAAAGGGCTAACCAGGCATCACTGCTGCAGTTGCTGCCTGGAGTCTGGATTCTATGTGCTCAGGTGCTTCTAGGTAAAGTACAAACTAGCCACAGCTTTTCTACTGGCTGGGGACGAGGAGAAAGAGGATAAATCAAGGCAGTCAGGTCTGGGGGTGCGTCTCTGACTTTCTGATAATGGTCAGAAAAAATTCAGGGTTAAAGGATTTGTTGTCTGAGCAGACAGAAGTGCCCGCATTTCAAGTGGTGATGAAAAAAGGCTGTCTTACTTGTATGATCGCTTCCTATAGTCTTCAAGCTCACCTGGTTCTGTATTTACCTTGGAGGCCGGGGCTATGCTTTTTTCATTTTGGACTCTGGATAAAGGACTCAGCACGTGGAAAAAAATTCAGCAAGGGTTTATAGATTGAATGATGACATAGATTAATAAGTATCCATTTGTGGCTAGTTGCTGACAAATGGGAAAATGACCTAAGGTAAGGCTTGTTTGTCTCTGGATGACTGTTTGAAAATATCCTTGGTTAACCACCACGCTGAAAACGGTTTTGACTGTTCCTGCTTCCCTCTCCTGATGTGGGGAAGAGGAACCCATCCTCTGAAGCTGGCTGCTCAGCTCAGAAAACCCAGTCCACCATGACAGTCCCCATGCTGTTTGAGAGGCAGAGGCAGCAGCTTTGGAGTGTCAACAAAGTCCGAGAACCATGAGAAACTGCACGCAACATTTTCAGTGTACGCACGTTTTTCTAAGAAGCTGCTTCATAGTTTTTAATAAATTCTACAAAAGCCCATAACCCCAAATGATGATAAGGGGGATTCAACTGAAGGAAGATTCCACTGGTTCTTTAAGAAAGCTTTTGTCTCTGAACTAATTTCTAATGAGGGTGAGGTTGGATATACAGTGAAGAGGGAAGAGCTCGTTGGTAAAATTAAAAAAAATTACTTGGTTTGCTAGAGAATATCATTTGGGATGACATAGTTCCACCATGAACCAAATCAAAGAGGACTCGCTGCTTTAGGCCCGAGGTAACTTCATCAACCCCTGATACAGAGCTCTGGGCCTGCTCCCAGCTTCAGCTCAATGGGGGCTCCTTTGGCAATGACACCCAATAATGGCGTAAACCAGGAAGCTGGTGAACACGCTCAAAAGCCCATGAACAAAGCCAGTGGCACCACCCTCGTCCCAACCACAGTCTTCCAGAACAGGAAGCAGAACCCACCCGCTCGGAACAAATCTAATGACTTCTTACCGTTGTCGTCACCGGAATCTGACTGGAAGGAGCTGAGAGACTGAACTTCAGAGTTGCTGCCTTTATTACTGCCTGCAAAGCAGGTCACTTCTCCCGGGTCATCAACCCCTTTGTCTTCGTGAACAGCCAAAGAGAAAGCAGAAATGACACTGGTTACCTTGTCCCTATTTCCAGTCCTGCCCCGCCCCCCGGCTCCCACCCAGTTCCCTTGATGCTCTCTCATTTGCTTAGAGAAAATAATTTAGCTACACAATAGAAAATTGATTGTGCCATTGGGGGCAAAGTTCTGTCAATCGAGTAATTTACATGAAGGACTCAAAACCCTTAGCCCATAGTAAATGAGCTTCCAAACAGCTGACAGCCAAAAGTAGCTGTTCCCTTCTCAAAGTGAAGCGACTGAAGAGTGAAACGAGAATGAAGTGGGTGCATAGCTCTTTGCCATTCAGAGTTAATTTAGATCACTTACATGAACTGATGAGGTGTCAACACCAGGTTAAATGAGATTACTTTTAAAATGGGGTTATAAATATTTCATAAGCAAGAATGCCTTTACATTTATCCTAACTTCCATCTCTGGACAGGGAGTGGAGTTTCCAGTTTTGTCTTCTAGAGGGCAGCGTTGTATCATTTTTGGGAGTGACCATGTTCCCCACCCTGTGTTAAGGCCAGCAGTGGTGTGGATATGCCCTTATCAGCGTTATGTCCTCCCTCTTTGCGGTACAAAGACAGCAACACACAGATGTACCTGCGTGCGCGCTCACTACACACACACACACACACACACACACCCCGGGCCTTCTCATTTAATGGACTAAAAGAAGCAATAAAAACAGCCTCTATCTTGAGACTGTCAAGTGCAAAATGCATTAGTTGCCCAGAAGTTGTCTTACCAGCTAACTCTGCCTTGCTTAACAAAGAACGAAATGTATTCAATACAACCCAACAATACTTTGGGGGAAAATGTGAGTTTCAGCCTGAGGTGAATTCTGGAAACTGTCACATCAGGAAGTGGGGAGGGCAGTGATGACCAGGAAAAGCTGCAAATCATCATGTAATGCAATGGTACAAAGAGATGCAGGCTTGTGATTAAGGGAACATTGTTCATCTTTGTGGCCACAGAAATCACGTTTCTTCCACCAAAGATGTCAGGAACAGGCACGGTAGCTCTGCAACTGCTGTCAGAGGCTGAGGTCACAGCAAAGCACCAGAGTTGGATAAACAACCAATGTAAGTAGAGAGAGATTCCAAGGGAGAAATTCACCTCCTAACAGCCACAAAGCAGAAAATGTGACAATGTGCTTCAGACAAGCACAAGCTATGCACAAGCTTAGCCCCGAACACAGGGAAGGAAATGACAAATAATCCACTTGGGTGAATGAAGTGCCGGGCAGAAAACTCCATTTTCCACTCCTCTATTTATTCACCATCCCCCTTTTTATTGCTATAAATAAAAAAAGAGCCTATTAGCTCGTGGATTGGCAAGACTATAGTAAAGTCTAACTCAACAGCTAATTTGAGAGGGAATATATTTGTGGCAGAAATTCAAGGGCAACTGCTTAAAATACACGTGTCCACAGAAAGAATCAGCAGATAGCATACTGTGGTAGCACTAGAATAGAAAGGATTCATCCTTGGCCCTCCGCTATCACCAGGAAATACTCTTCTTCCTTCCTGCCGAAGCTCCCAAGAACAGTGCCGGTAAGAGCACAGGTTTTAATCCTGGCGTCTCCTTTTGCTAGTTAGGTGCCCTCGGGTTAGGTGTCATTGAAGGGAGTTGTTTCCTCCACGGAACGATGGGCTGGCAGTGGCATCGATATGGGGGCAATGTGATGGTTTAAGGAGATGACCTAACACACAGCAGTGTGCTTCACATTCACCTGCTGCCCTCGCTTTCTCACCAGACCTCTTGGTTCTGAACCCTTGCATTCTGGCTTCTGTCTAGATGGCTCTATTGAGATGTTCTTGAGAGGCTAAGATTCCTCTTGTCATCAAGGTCACTATACATGTATTTTAGCTTGCATCCTACACGGTTTTACAGCAGTCAGTACTGATGATCTTACTGACATGGTCTTGGCCTCTGGACAGGGCCCTCTCCTTATCCCTCCTCTTTGTTTGTTGCCAAGGGTTTGTCTCCTCGCCTGCTTCCTCCCCTTCTGCCCAAAGCCCACGTGGGTGTCTCCAGGGTTCTTTTGGAGGCCTGGTTTGACCATCCTCTCTCTGTTCTTGCTCTTGTGGAGTTCACGCTCTTAGAGTCCACCATCCTAAATGCAGATGATGTTCACAGCTTGATGTCTAACCTTGACCTCTAACCTGAACCATGGAGCCAGACGTCCCTCGGGTAACTTTCTGTGTCCTCTACACTGAGCTGCTTCCTGTTTCTGGAAGGTCATCTCCAAAGTGTTCTACTGAAAACTTACTCATGCTTAATGATATCAGTAGGAATGCCCCCTTCCTTCATGAAGAAAACCTTTATGTTTCTGACTGCCCGTGGTCAGCTCCACCTGAAACCTTCCTGCTCCCTTTCGGTCTCTCCGCATATCTCACAGTACTGTAACCACAGCCTTCAAGGCTACCTAGGACACAGCTGCCACTGGGATAGAAAGCCATTTGTCCTGAAGAAGTCACAGGCTACAGCAGAAATTCTTTAATCTCATTGTAATGGACACTATAGCCGGGAAAACAATCTCTCACCTAGACGTTCACAGAGGCTACCTAACTGGCTCTCTGCTTTTTTCCCTTTTTGGGAAGAAAGCCTGTTCAGTTTGTTCTCTTAGGATCAGCCAGACTCAGTTCTAAAAAGATAAATTAGATCATGCCAGTCACTTCCTTAACCTGCCGTTGTGTTGCTGTTAAGATGTTATCAGTTCTCTGGTGCTCAGCAAGCTTCAACTGCAGTGACCTCCGCTATGTTCTTGTACACACCAAGCTCTTTGCCACCCCGAGAGTTATGTACCTGTGGCTCTTCCCTGTGCCTAGAAAGCTGCTGTGTGAGGCCAAATGAAGAGGAAAACGCCACTATCGGGCCCAGACCACCTTTCCTGTCTTGCGGCTCCCCTTGTTTCATAGTCTGTACATTCCAGCCAACAAGAAACGACTTGCTTTTCTGCTGATCCCGTGGGTCCCTCCTACAGTGGAATGCCCTCCTTTCCCCAGACTCTTTAACTCATCATGGTCTAATGGAAGTGCCCCTCTGCTTCTCTCGAATCTTCATTCTAACACTGGAACTACATCCTTCGTCCAGCCTGCCAGAGCCCACTCCTGGACATGACTGACGTGGCTAGCCTTTTGCACTTCCAGAGCGGCCCGCTATTGTGGGAGGAGGATGGATTTTGGAATCTGGACGACTTGGGTTGGGGTCCTGACTGCCTCTTACTAGCTGCCTGACCTTGGGCGCATGATGTCACCCTCTCTGAGCTTCAGTTTTCCCATGTGCAAATGGAATCAGAAACGGGGCCGTTTTCCAGGCCCGGTGCGAACATTCCACACCAGCACACGTCATAGCGAACGCTCTGCCCGCGGGGTCTCTCCCCCTTGGCCTGGGTTCCCCGTAAGCGCAGAGGGCTGAGCGCGCCTGCTTCCTACTCACTCTCCGTGCCCGCGTCCCAGCCATTCTTCCGGATGGAGTCGCAGTCGGAGCGGCAGGGGGACACGGCCGGGAGGTTGGGGGCCACGCTGCACACGACCACGCCCCGCCGGGCCGTCAGGATCCGGGGCGACTCGGGGTGAAACGTGGTCATCTCCTGGTGCTCGCCCCCCAGCCCGTCCACGATCTTATCCAGGTTGCTCCTGGAGTCGCTCTGGAAGCAGGGCGTGTAGGCCATGGGGCGCACGGGCACCTGCGGGGGCCCCACCTCCTGGTAGACGTTGCGGCCGTCCCCGCCGCCGCCGCCGCCGCGCAGGCTCCTGAACGGGATGCCGTTGCTCTTGTTGAGCAGCGCGGCCGCGGCCGGGTCCTGCACCAGCGTGATGTTGTTGCGGGAGTAGTTCTTGCGGAAGACCTTCTTGCGGAAGACGATGAAGAGGACCACCAGGACGAAGATGACGAAGAGCACCACGGCGATGCCGATGAGCTCCTCCTTGCCCACGTACGCGTGGCCGGCCTGGATGTTGGGCACCACGACGGGGCGCAGCCCGCAGTACTGGCCCACGTAGCCCGGCGTGCAGTTGCAGAGGAAGGAGCCGAACACGTTCACGCAGGAGCCGCCGTTCTCGCACTCCTCCCGCTCGCACTCGTTGATGTCCTCCTCACACCTGCGGGGACACAGAATCCCCTCCCCACCGTCAGGACCTGGGCGCACACGCTGGTATATGGGAGCTTGGGGGAAACATGGCCATCTTTAAAAAGAAAGTGATACACCTCAAGGGTACAGATGAAGCGGGACAAAGAGGGTGGTTCAGGGGAGGAGGCACTAATGGAGGCATTTCTGTGGCCACTGTGGTCCCGAAGTCATCACCTGGCCTTAAGGTGTTACTCTCAACCCAATCTCTCCCAGGTCCTACCTGGGTTGGGGGAAAGAGAGAGACTGGGGGGAGAGGGGAGAGAGAGAGAGAAAGACAAAGAACAACAGACGCTATTGAAAAGGGTACTGGTCTCCAAATCCCTGGGAGCAGATGCATCTCAGAAGATAAAACTGTGCAATTTTATCAAGGACATACAGCACATAACTTGGACGTGATGTAAAATAGTCCTCCCCCTCGCAGAAACTGGTGCTGGCCGTAGTATCCCGTAATCAAATACACCAGTGTTTCTGCAGTGAAACATATGGATATTCACACTAAATGAGAGAAATAAAGAGTAGAAGGAGCCTCAGAAGAGTTTTGAACAGGTTTTGCCACCAAATTAGTTTGCCGCTAGCATACCCCAAACCATTTAAGTTCTCGGAGCTTTTGGGATTGTACAACTGCAGACAAAGAGCTGTGAATCTACATGTCGGTTACAGGTTTTCCCCAGAGGAAAGTCTTCGGTTCTGACATTTTCCTCTAATGGCTGCAGTAATTTTGGGTACCTCTGGGAAGCTGGTGGCTGCAAAGGGTGAGTGGATGGAGGGCTCCATGTCTTCAACATTCTATGCTGATGTTAAAGGCGAATACTAATGTAGATTTTCAGGAAGAATGACTAAAGCATTCTGATGAAAAATAATTAAATCAATTTTACTCTCTTTAAAGCAATCCATGGCTCCCTTTGAGTATAATTATAAGGCAAGTGTTTCAGTCTTACGCTTTCTTAGCTTAGTATTATTTCAGAACTTAGACCTTCTTTTTAACTTCTATTTCAGCAATTGTTCTGATGTGTTCATTTAAAAGGTCCAATCACCTATATTTTTGACAATCTACCTTTTAAAATGTAGCCAAAGGTCCCTAATTTGAGCAGACAGAGGTGAGGTCAGTCTGAAATTAGTCGGAATCAGAGTATTTAAAAAATAAATGCTGCTTTATTACTTTAAATGACATCCAACGATTCAAAGTCAGCTAAGTATTTCCTGGTAAAGTTCTCGGGAGATTTGCACTAATGAATACATAAGACTGATCTGTAATTAGAATATCGCTTGCTTGATTATATATACTTCTAAAACGATCAAGGATGGCTGAAAGTGGCATTTTACTAGGAATTTTAAACTATCCCTTTCATTTTGGTAAACAGTTAATTTCGCTTGTTTCTTAGGGGAAAAACGGTTTGCGAAGGAAAGGTAAGTTTCAATTTCTCAGAATGACCAAAAAACAATAGGCTGTAGAGCCCATTAAATGGATTCTGGCGAAATGGGTAATGTGTCTGCCTCAGAATTAAAAATATTAGGTGGCCTAGATGACCTTCTTTTTTCCCTAGTTACGGACTACATAGTAATCATACACAATTTTGAAGATACAGGGAAACATAAAACACGGAAATTTATTGTAAATAAATGGGACAGGTTACAAGAGCAGAGCCCAAGACGGGGCGGAAGATGCTTTCTCCCCTACCCTACTACTGTACATGGCAGATGCTTGCAGACAGGAGTAGTTTGCTATGGATAAACTAGACCCCCACTGGACAGAGATGGTTCCTGTTAACATTTTAGTCACCTGTAAGCACTCCTTTATATACGTCGTGCAGATGTTAACCCTTTGCCTATACTTTTAATGGTAAATATTTTATCCCCATTAGTTGCTTACTGGTTTGTGGTAGCAATAAAGAATGATGTAGAGAAAGACACTAAGACAATCTCACTCACGTAACTCCAGTGAGCCCAGCTTTACAACTGCAGATGAAAGTGTTTCCTATTGGATCGCAGGATCCTCCATTCCGGCAGGGGTTGGGAAAGCAGGCCGTAATCTCAGATTCACAGTTTCTCCCCGTAAACTGTGAGAGACAGGTACACTGGTATCCTGGGGAAACAGAGGGCCTCATGAGCCATGGATGCCACTGCTAAGGCTGAGTGCTTGCACTCGGCCATCACATGCCCTCCTAATTCTTGGTTGAACTGTATCTTAGGCAGAGCCTAAATTCCAAAGCTGATGAGCGAATTGGTTGTTTCAAACATATCTTGCCACAAAAATGTCAAGTTATAGTTGGGATTTCCTGCTAGTCCACAAAAATTCACCTAATTAACCACACACACAGTTGCTAGTGAGAATTACAAGGCCCACCCAAGGGACAGATTTCAAGAGCGGAGCCCAACACGGAAAGGAAGATGCTTTCTCCCCAACACTACTACTGCACAAGGCAGATGCTTCCAGACAGCGGTAGTTAACTATGGATACCATGTCAGCTTCTTTCTGAGCCACTGTCCTATCTCCTGTGGCCTCTCTCCTTAGCCATGTACTGAAATCCCATCCAGAGAAGAAAGGAAGGGAGAGCAGGTAAAAGGCTATTTGTTAACTCAGTTGAACCCCAGATTGGCAAGTGCACAGGGCAATGGAAAGAATTCCAGCCTTCGCCCTGGTCTGATCCTGATGTTTGCATTTTTTTTTTCCACTTTGTTTACTCATTAACCCATCATGCAGAAATCGGGAATAGTATTTCCACTACAGAGAATATTAACTATAAGATACAGTAAGATTCTAAGAGGAAGTAGTGTTGTCTACCTCTTGAGATGGATTATCGAGATGGAAGGGATGAATAACTAAGGATGCTCATCCCTCCTTTAAAAAGAAACCGTAAGATTTTTTTTTCTTTTTTTTACAGATATACATGCACATAGTAAAGAGGAAGGTAGTACTGTAAGTTTTATTTTGTCCAATAGCAGTCTACCCCTCCATTTACACTTCCTCAGAAGTAACTTGGGCATCCCTTTTAGGATTTCAATATTTCCTTCTGTGGCATTTAACTATCTTTTGATTTTTAGTTTTAGGCAGTTTCTATGGGCTTTCCACTATGCTTTTATATTTCAAACTTTCGGCCCCACCACATAGGAACACCTCTTCTGATACTCCTATCTCCCAATAGATTGCAATATTATCATTTTGGTTAAATCAAAGATCAGTGTTAGCATTATGATAACGAAATGTTCTTTGCAGCTAAGCCGTGTACTTAGCTCTATTTATATTTCTATATTCATACGCAAATTTTTGTTTTCCCTAGAGTTAAAAAAAAAAACCATGTTTTGGCTTATTTCTGAATATTGTTTGTTAATTGAACTGGAAACTCTTCATCAACCAGGTCTGTGTTCAGTTGCCTCTGTTTCCCTGTATTTTCATCTCCTGAATTAGTCTCTCCTGAGGCCCTCCGGCTGGCTCCAGCCTGCATGTTCTCTTCTGGCCCTGCTTCTTGCTCTCCCCGTTTGGATCTGGCGATTCCTCTATCACCTGGCTGCCTACTGCTTTGTTTATTCTCTCATTTCACTAGAACACATTCCACAGTTACTTCGTCCACTAGGTTTATAGGAAGACAATTCAGTGAGACTTTGCATAGCTGAACATGTCTTTACTTCCCCCTGACACTTCTTTGACAGTTAGATTGTGTAAAGAATTAGAAGCAATCTCCCCATGTTGCTATGGAGAAATCCAAAGTTGTTTTGGCTCCTGGAGTTTGTATGTGACAGATTTGGTGTTCCCCCTGCCCCACCCCCCACGCCTAATGTCTTGGCGGATCTTTTTGCTTCCAATTATCTGAGATTTTGCAATGATGTACTTTATATGGGTTTATTGTTAGCCGATACTGGGTACTCAATGGGCTCTTAGAATCTGGAAATTTTTGTGCTTTCACTTTGGGAAAATTTCTTTTATTATTTCTTCGGTAATTTCTTTTGTATTGGTTTCTGTTGTCTGTCTTTACGGAACTTCTATTTTTTTTTTTATCTGAGCTGCTGGACCTTCCTCTAATTTTATTTTTCTTTTATATTACATGTGTGAGGTTTTGCTTTACTTTCTGTGAGTTTATCTCCTTCACTTATTGAAATTTTCATTAATTTGTCATTTTGCAAGAACTTTTATTGTGTGCTTTTTTTTTAAAACACGTAACATCCTACTCCTGTGTTAGGGTTTCAGTATCTTCTGTTAACTGTGAGGATATTCATACTTCTGTGGAGTTTTCTCCCTGTTTTTTTCCAAGTTGCTTTTCTGTGTCTTTGTTTTGGTCTCATAATTTAATTTTATGTGTCAACTTGGGTAGCCAGATGTTTGGTCAAATAGTAGTCTAGATGTTGCTATTACAGTATTTGGGTACTTGTGGATGTTATCAATTTATTTCTCTTTGTAGCTGTCAGTCTCACTTGTATATGAAAAAACTGATAATCAGTTAACTTTAAATGAAACACGCTACTCTCCATAATTTGGGTGGGCCTTATTCAGTTCAAGGCCTTATGAAGAAAGAATCCTGTGCCTCGAGGCTGTAACATAGGAAACATTTGACCTGAATTTCCAGTCTGCTGGCTTACTCTACAGATTTTGAATTCAAGACTGCAAAATGAACTCTTAGATGAATTTGCAACCAGCCAGCCTGCTCACATGATCATGAGCCAATTCTTTGAAATGAGTTTCTCTCCATATGTATGTATGTGCACATGCTCATGTATATATATACAAATGGTCTCTGCCTTACGATTGTTCAACTTAAGATTTTTTGACTTTGTGAAGGTGTAAAAGCAGTATGTATTCAGTAGAAATGTGTTTCAGGCAAGCTAGGTTAAGCTATAATGTTTGGTAGGTTAGGTGTATTAGATAAATTGTTCACTTAAGGTATTTTCAACTTAAGAATTTATTGAGATGTAACCCCATCCTAAGTTGAGGATTATCTGCATCTATCGTCTATTGGTTCTGCTTCTCTGAAGAACCCTAATACGTTCTCCATCTTCCAAGTGAGAGGATTTCTTTACTTGTAACTATTGATTAACAGTTCACATTGAAGAGCTTAGCAATAGAAAACTACAAATCTGATGAGAGGCTTTGAGCACATTAATGGGGCTCAGCGACTGTGAAACTGAATCAGTAGCTTTGGGATGGTCAGTTTCCCCAGACACATCTTACCTGTTCAGAGGGAAGGTAAGGACCTAGTTTCTAACACGGGGAGGCTGGGTGGTGGCAGAGGACGGGTGGTTGTGAGTCTCAGCATCCAATAAGCACACCATATTTACTTTAACCCCTGTGCAGCACAGGGTCGGGCGTGCTCCGGCCCCGAGATCCTGCATTTTAACATCACCTGCAGGCTTCGCCACCGTGTCGGGGAAGGAGTTGTCTGGCTGTGCAGACGGAACGTGGGAATCCAGATTGAATCCTGCCTGCCTCTAAACCGCTTTTAGCAATTCTTACTTGACGCTTTTCTCCCCATCTCCTCCCCCTTCACAAGTAACTGGTGCTTACAGTTCCCGAGTCTTAGGGAATTCAGTCTCCCTGAGGTTTTGGGAATTTGGTCCCTTTATCAGTTGGAATTCAGTTCTCTAAGAACTTCATTCTTCCTTACCACCTGTCTCTGCCTTCCACCTCCAAACCTGTGTCGGTGTTGTCTACTTTCCCGTTCTCCTCACTTCTGTGGGCTTATGACGCATTTAAAAATAAATTTACTTCCACAGTAGTGCGGTTGTTAACAGCAAGATGCCACCCTTACCCTGAAGTGGCCAAAAAGCCTTTCCCCGTATCTAAGACCTTTGGTAAATACTGCAAAGAACCGTTCCCTCTTACTTGAAGGGCTCTTGGGCTTCTTTTCCAAAGTTGTCAGTGTCTGATGTTGGGATTATATAGATTGATCTCTATAGATAGGATAGTTGAAAATGTAGTTTGAAACGGCATACGTTCTCATGGATGTTTTGCTGAATCTGTTACAGATAACTCCCATGTTCAGAAGGAAGGACGGTTGTGTGCGTTCAAAGGTTCACAGAAAATCTTACCCTCAAGAGGCAGGTGTGGGAGCCAAGAGAAAGCTATATATTTCCAAGTGGAGGAAACGATGTAGCCCCAGCCTGCCTGGTGCCAAAAAACACAGAGGGGAAGAGACTGAGGCTCGGAGAGATGCTTGCTTGAAGTTAGGCTGACGTGGAGTTATTTTTTTTATCATTTTGGGAAATTGCTCACCTTAATGGAAATGAAAATTGTTGAAGGCAGCTGGGATTGGGAAAATTGCTTCTTTGTGTCACCTGGCTAGTCATAGGCCATGATGACAAGTCATTTAGACAGAGTAACTTGTGAAGAGGAATTAGTCTCTTTTAGAATATGATCTTAGACGACCACAGTACAGGACTCAGAACAGCACATCAATAATAAGGGGGCAAGTCAGGAATTGTGGGAGTCCAAGGCAAGGTAGGGAAACTTGGTGAAAACTCCCTCTCCAGCTCCTCTTTGGCAACTCTCTGACGATTTCTTAGATAAAACTATCAGAAGCACCTGGGGGCAGGGGAGAGTCAAGGGAGAGGCTGTGCAGATCTAAGGGACATTTAAATCGCTATCATGGAAACTGGAATCGAACTCTGGTCATGGGACTGATTGTTGATCTGATGGCAGAGAAGCAATGTGATGTTCCCTGCCTTGGAAAATCAGAATTTAAAACGAGACACTATTTGTAGAGCACTATTATTTCACTCGCACATTTCCTTCTGATTTTCGTCTTTTTCATCATCATTTGTGGACTATCTAGCACGACTTGATGCAGCAGGCAGCCTAACTGACTAACATATCCACATTGATTGAATGCCTAAGTCATAGAGGGTGGTGTGGCTGATGCCGGTCACCAAGAGGTGACTGTTAAATATTCAGGAATGTGGTGGGTCAGTTATTAAACCTCGTGTAGCCTGACATCAGCCATGGTGGAAGTATTTACAGCATAGTAATCAACAAATACTACAAATTGGGGCTTTTATGTTTAGAGAACCGGTTTACCAGCACATCCCTAGAATAGGGACTATGGCAAGCACTGGGGATACAAAGAGAAATTCCAATGTAGAAGCACGCTGTAGAAG